AAAAATGCATTTTTTAATTAATGAAATTGACCCAAGGGGTGATACTAACAAGCTATCATAATTTTTTATTATTTTCAAAAGTAGGCTCAGTACTGTTTTGCTTTAGGGAGTTATCTTTTTTAACCAATTTTTAGCAAACTTGCCTCGATATCAAGTTACTTTTGTAATGAAATATCACAATTTCTGTAAAAACATGTCTTAACATTACTAGGAAATTTCTGAAAACTATTGCATTTATAAATAAAAAATAACACATTCTATAAAACAAAATACAACTTTAAGGCTAATGAAAAATACCGCATCTGTACAGTCTGCAATACATTTGTTGTAGCCAAGTAAGAAAAAATTATCCTAATAGTAACTAATGGGTAAAGCCTTTAAATTAATTTAATTAGGAAATGCTAGTATTTCATCACCTTGTTTGGCAAGATTTTGATTCCTGACAATGCTACCATCTAATGCAGTGGTAGCTTTTCAGAAGAGAAAAGGCCATGTCTATTCAAAGATTTTGAACAAATAACATATTTATTAGGTTTTAAATCAAACCCATGTTTTTTTTTTGTGTTAAAAAATTATTGAAAAATGGCATATTTCTGTAGCAAAATGTTCACAAATCTTCCTGTCTTGCTCAAGGGAAAACAAAAACAACTGGAATCATATCAAAAATCATTAACACTAAAACAATTTAAAAAATGCATATCCTATATTTCTAACTGTATTACAGTATTAACAACTGTGACTTTTATAATGTTTTGCACAACTCATGTCATGCCAATACTAATAAGTAAGGAAACCAACCTTAATTGTAAAAACCTTTTAAAAATGTGTTCATTTTAGAAACACAGTATTGTTGTAAAATGTAATTTATTAAGTGTTTAATATCATTTGTATGTATTAATATGCCTATGATATATGACAAAACTGTTTTATCATTTTAACGTTCTTCACAACTGCAGTAGTTGCAAGGTACCTGATGCCAGCACCTAAGGGAAAGTGACAATGTGTGGTAGGCAGCCTGAGAAAGAACTATACCAGTAAATATGGAAGAACATAAACAGCCAGAGTATTTTCTGACACACTAAGAATTTGGTTATCAAAGAGATTATTAATTTTTCACCAGAAATTGTATTTTATAAATACATATTTTTAGTTTTTGAATCAGCCAACTACAGTAACAATAGCACAAACTGAAAGATAATTTTAATAACAGCTTTATTTACAAAATACTTTAATTTATTTACATCTGACACAAATGTAACAATATAACAAATCTGTGGACACTTCTATAGAATCATATACCTTAGGTGAAATGACCCTTTGTTTAAATCTTTGTAGTAATGTGATATAATCTGTGATTTGAAATAAATCTGTGGAAAACAAACTTCTATACAAGTATCAGAAGAATAGTTAGATATGACACCATTTCTTTGGCTTGACTTATCTGATTTGGTATATCTAACTTGATCAACTAACAAATGCAATATCTACAGAGTCACAACTCGATTAAATGTTGATTAAAATTTTTCTTTGAAGTAGTATTTTTCACTGCAATAATACCGAATGTGAAGTAAGATTATGCTTTGGTAAACAGCTTCATGTTGGAAATGTTAAACATTCCTTTTTCAATAACCATGTTATAATATATTTTCCTTAATGACTAACAGGTCATTGATTATTTTTTAGTTCAAGTGTATGAAACATTAACAATAGCTCATGAAAACAACACAAGCTTCCTGCAAGATTAGTTTTCCTTTGTCTCCTCAAATCAGTTGAAATTTAATGTTTTCTGATCTGAAAAGTTAAAATTTAAATGAAACCAGAATGAAAGGTAATGCATTTTTAGTACTTTTGTAATATCTAGATTTAAATCTCCACATATTTTACAATTTTGTTTTTTAATTTTAAAATAAAAATACTATTTGAAAAGAAATATCAAATGATAAGTGAAAGAATATTTTCTTATAAATTCTCGATGTGTATGTATATACTGTGTTATGTATATTTACTACGTAGTGGTAGCTTTACTTGCTATCTATCCTTAGTGCTTTGTTACATTGCGTAAATCTTCATGTAATCTATAGGTGTTCTTGTAACCATTATTAGAATAAAATGGAAAAAAATCATTTAATTTTCAAGTGCTATCTGTAAAAGTAGGAAATATTTGATGAAAGAAAAGAGAGGTCCGATGATGTGCACTTAATACATTGTGCAAATGGGTAAATTAAATCACCCAGCACATGCTTGATAAGCACATGATAAAAAATCACAACCAGTTGAAGCATTTTGTAAAAGCCAAAATACACTGATTATGTATATACTAACAAGCTTATTTTTTTTGTGAGACTTACTTGCATCCTTTGATACTTCTAACAATTGTCTGATATTTCTAAATAGTTTAGTTGTAACAGTTTAAGCAGTATTTAAGTAAAGAAACTTACATTTTAAGTAAAGCAACTTTTTTTTTAAATTCAATGAATCAGGACTTAATACTGCTTGCATATTAATATTATGATACAGTAAGCTTCTCTTTTTAGCATAATTACAAATGTAATAACAAAATACTTGTGGATTTGCTATTCCTAAACAATTTATACACTAAAATACTGGTATCATATGTCACCTTGTTTTCTTAATAGGTGACATTCTAGGTTAAACTTACTGTTTAAACAGTACAAGGAAACCTAAATCTATCTTTTCAAATGATTCATTGCAGTGTATCATCAAAAGACATAATCATATACACTTGCAAATTATATTTAGCAGATAAACACATAGATAAAACAATTGTAATATACTCTTGTCAATAACACTGTTTTACAATATGAAAAAGCTTCAAAGAGTATATATCAAGTACTTTCTTATAAACTTTGGGTGTGTAATGTTAACAAGATATAGCACATTATAATAAGAGATGATATCTTCAGGTAGTTTTTTTTTAGATTATTAACTAATTTATATATTGTAACTATTGTTAACTATAACAGTTAATATTATGCATTTTATTGAAACAACATTCACAAAGATAAAATGTTTTATAGTAATAAATCAGTTAGCAATCTATTTTGCAAACAATTTAGATTGGCTCTGAATCATCTTTACAAGGAGAAGTTCCTTCTTTCCAGAAAATATCATTTGTAACACTTTGAGATTTAATTAACCAACTAAGAAACTACATAACAAGCTTCAAATATAGTGAACTTCTGTCTCATTAAAAGTCGGCTGTCTGAATTATGTTGGAAATTTTGAAGACAAATTTTAAATGTTGTGGGCAATTTCAAAAACTGTGAAACAGCACCACAAAGTAAATCAATATTGAGTTAAATGTTGAAACATGTGTAAATGAATGATCAGTCTCCTAAGAAAAACCTTTTGTTTTTCAATGTACTACATGTTTATAGATCTTTGACCCTTGTCTTCCAACATGCACCATTCTTCAATATTACTACCTCATTCCTTCCAACATGTTAAATGTTTATAGATCTTTAACAAGTTACATTTATCAATATGTTCAAAGTTCTGAAAAGAAATATATACTTTGAAAAAAGCCAGTGAGAAAGACTATTATTGACTTGGATGTTATGAGAGGTATATGAAGCAATACGTTTATATTCCCTTGAAATTTGAAGTTCCCCTTGGTATCATAGGGTGGATTCTAAGTCCTCTGTATGAAGTCCACTGCTGTGTTGACTGTCATTTTGTGGGCTGGGATAGCTTGCTGCCTCCTGAAGTCTTATAAGCATGTTCAACTAAACCAAAAATACCAACACAAACCTGGATTTATTTATATGTAATCAGATGTTAATAGTTCTATTCAAGTAATAGCAAGTATTTGAGAGATGTTCCCTGCTTTCTTACTGGTCTTCACAGAAGTTTCACACAATCTAACATATGAATGTTCTCCAGTTGAAAAATATGTTCAATATAACAGTTGTTATAGAATCTTCTTATAAACTAGGGGAGTGTGGCATTAACAAAATATAGCAAAAGCCAATCACTAAAAAAATACACATTATAACAAAAGATGATATCTTCGGGTAGTTTTTTTTTTAGATTATTAACTAATTTATATACTGTAACTCTATTTTTAAAACATTAATTGATTTATAGATTGTAATCATAATGTTGCGTGAGCAAGGTCACGTGACTAGTGTCATGCCCCCTGCTTTCTGGAAATATCTTGTACCTTCGTGAATTGTCGGGAGATTACTAGATATAGGGCAGTCTGGTATATATAAGAGGGTGACAATGTGACGACAATAATGTGTGTGTAGGTAATGAGTAATTGAACTGCAGTCAGAGAGAGACGTATTGTTGAAGTAGAGCTCGTGAGACATGAAATATAGTTTGTTATAGCGCGACTGTTGAAAATAAGTGTATCGTAAAGTTGTATTCGGAAAGAATAAACCAGTTTTATTAAGTAAGGACTTGTGTCACTAAAGTTTTGTCGGAAAGAAGTTACGGAAAGTTAATTAACAAACGGAGACGTAACAAATTGGTGTCAGAAGTGGGATGAAAAAAAAAATGGAAACGAGAAGCGGCAAATCAAACTACAGTTTAGCAGACTTGATGGCAGCAAAAGAAACAAGAAGAACGAGAAAATAAACAAGAAGAGAGACAACAGCAGCTACAAAATAACCTGCAACAGTGGCAGCTCGAACAACAAAAGAAACAAGAAGAACGAGAAGAGAAATTACAGCAGTGGTTGGAGGAAAAAAAAAGAAACAAGAAGAACGAGAAAAGAAACAAGAAGAGAGACTACAGCAGTGAGAATTGGAACAAGAAAGGAAACAAGAAGTACAAATGGAAAATATTAGTAAATTTAAAAGTGAATTAGATACGTTAAAGGACGATCTATTGTCTGTTACACAAGGAGGATACATTGACCATCGACTTAATCAGCCCCAGACAATGGCAAGCCCCTTACACAGCCCGCAGCTAAAACCT